GAGTAATTAATTCGTGTAATTGCGTGTAATCTTCGTTAGAAAATCAGCCGGATAGCCGTTATTTAACAGGTGTTTGTGGAGAAGAGTAATTAATTCGTGTAATTGCGTGTAATCTTCGTTAGAAAATCAGCCGGATAGCCGTTATTTAACAGGTGTTTGTGGAGAAGAGTAATTAATTCGTGTAATTGCGTGTAATCTTCGTTAGAAAATCAGCCGGATAGCCGTTATTTAACAGGTGTTTGTGGAGAAGAGTAATTTATTCGTGTAATTGCATGTAATCTTCGTTAGAAAATCAACTGGATAGCCGTTATTTAACAGGTGTTTGTGGAGAAGAGTAATTTATTCGTGTAATTGCATGTAATCTTCGTTAGAAAATCAGCCGGATAGCCGTTATTTAACAGGTGTTTGTGGAGAAGAGTAATTTATTCGTGTAATTGCATGTAATCTTCGTTAGAAAATCAGCCGGATAGCCGTTATTTAACAGGTGTTTGTGGAGAAGAGTAATTTGTTCGTGTAAAATACGATAATTCACACAAAGATTAAAAATTCTGTTTACCAATGATATGACCAGATTACGTTTGAAGAAGTTGGGTATAAAACTTTTAAAATTGGTATAAAGGCCAGTAAAAGTTATTTTAGGAAAAACAGAGGTAGAAACGTGTTTATCTTCTTCGTAAACGTGACGTCTAGGAACGGTAAGAAAATAATTTATTACCGTTCCTAGACGTCAGACGCCCTATTCTTAACGACTTACAAACCTCTTTAAGTATATAATTATTCTAGTTTACACTCTTAAAACTCAACTGTTCCTCAATATATCTATATCTATAATCTTTTTGTTTTGTTTTATTCTTCCCTTTATCACTATACTTATTAACTAAGTAAACTAGTGATTAATGATATTTAGTTTTAGTTTATAAACTATCTTTCTAACACTACTTCCAGGTTTCGCTGAAGATGGAATAAGTGTTTACCGAAACGTTCAACATTGAACATCAAAATGTTTTATGTTTTGTCAACCGTCTGCACCTTCATTATTAGACTTCGTTTTCCCCATTATAAATCCATTGCCAAGTTTCACATTAAAATAAACTTTAATATAACCCGATTTATTTACGATACTACAAAGGGCGATTGTAGGTAATTTTTCATCTTAAAAACATACAGGTGTCCAGTAGGAAAAGTGTATCACATTTTTTTTTTCATCTATACAACAGGTTTCCAAACTATGAACCTCAGACCTTAGTGGTCCATACCCTAAATCCTGGGAATGTCAGCCGTTGTACTGCTAAAAATCCCTAGTTGTAGCTTAATAAATACCATAATTATAATTACAATTTTGTGGTGTCTCACGGCAAGGTTAGAATTATTGAAGGGATCCGTGACTGGGAAATGTTTTAGAATCCATACGGTTTGGTATTAATCGAAAGACATCGTCCATAGCAGCATGCAATAAACAAGGTTTACTAAACGTAAAGAACATTATAAATGTTACCTTCTTATAGATGTTATTTCCAGGTGATTCGTCATAGGAGAGTGGATCACTTGACACGGCTGATAAAAGATCGCATCCTGAACTGGACTTTCGAAAGTTAAAAGCCAAACATCGATCGTCTCTGGCACATTCCCTTGCACACATTATGAATCCAACACTATTGAAGTTTCTCAATGGTGTCTCGTTCGAAATACGATTTTCTGCAAAGATCTCGAATTGATTTTGTTTTATGTTTAAAGCCAAGCAGATAGAAAGGAAAGATTGGACCATAAAAATAGTTATTACAAATCGCATTTTGACCCTCGATTCGAGAAAAAAAAAGGGCGAGAATAAAGAAGATTGAAATTTTGTAAGTTTAAAATCTGGAGAATTGATCAAAGTGTCGGATACCTCGTAGAGTGTTTTGTCTTTACCAAGTGATACGAACCTTTTAAATATTGTACTGAAAGTAAAGAGCTAATATTTTTCGCCCGTATAACAAAGATATAAAAAAGACCACGTAAACACATTAGTCTCTGTTCAAACATGGCGTGTCGTATCAGTTTTGTTTAGTCACTAGAACAAACGTCATAAACTACGAATTTTGCCCACTTCACCTTGAAAGACAGTTTGTTTTACGATACTAGTTCACAACTGTAAATCTACCAAATAACAACTCTTTATCATGAATTCAGCTGCATAATAAAGTATGTGCTAGTATATAATGTAGGTTAGGCTTCACAGACTCCTTTCCCTATTTTAATTTCTCGATCCAATCCACCATTTTATTTGCAGTGTTCAAAATTGATTAAAATAGAAACAAGTTATATCACATCTATAAGACTAATTGTTATGAGGATGACGTTGTAACGTCGAAACATGTAGAGTCGTCAACTTTTTGAAGGCCAGAAATAGGCCTGAATAAAATGTTTTTAATTGTGTACCACTTTAACGTTGAATATTATTTATGATTTTAAGACTAACTGTGTTTGAATCCTCACAAGCGCCTATGCTTCGTCGTCGTAGTTCTATAGTCAGGTGTTATTCCTGGTATGTTCTTGAAACAGCTGGGATAAGTCAAATAAAGCATATAGCCTATTCACGCCAATTGAAACTAAATAAACGTGTGATATCATCATTCCATCGCTGCTCTTACCCAGATGAAGTGTTTATTGGAGCGGAAATATTTTGATGAAATAAAATCTACTGTTGATACACATTTTCTTTTTTTTTTTCGCCCCCAATGACGCAGTGGCACGTCTTCGGACTTACAACGCTAGAAACCGGGTTTCGATATCCGAGGTGGGCAGAGCACAGATAGCTCATTGTGTTACTTTGTGCTTAACTTCAAACAAATAAACAAATTGTGTTTTGTTGGGGGGATTTGGTACTTTAGGCCTAAACGTGAGCTAAAGAGCCATATCAGAGACCCCAAAGCCCAGGCACAGCAGTCCCTAATTTAGGCTTTCTTACCAGAATAAGGGCAACCACTCGGGCGCACTTGCCGCATACACAGTTACTCTTTACCGAAGAGCAGGATTGATTATCGAGACGTTCTGTCCGCAGCTCGCGATGTACACTGCAAAGCCACGTCTGGCCCCAAAGTAAATGCGTACGTTAAGATTATTCCAAAATTAGAATTTTAATACATATTATATTTTAATAAAAAACAGAACTACATTTTACAAAGAAGATACGCAACTTTCACTTTTGACTTTCATATTCTCAAATTCCCAATTTTCTTTCTTTGAAGCACTGCGCATATTCACATTAGTCATACTTTTTATTATGTGTACAGTATTAAATATTTTACGTTCAGTATTAAATATTTCAACCGCAGTTTCTGTGAGAAGAATGTGTGTTCCTGCTGTAAAATGTCACTCCCAATTGAAGCAACTGATATTTCGAAATTTCCTAAATTTTCGTGACTATAATGATATGAAATTGTTACTTTTAGGTACTTTAATCTATAGGATTTATATAACTGAGTAAAAAGTTCAAACTGAATAATATATATTATAAACAGAATGTTTTTAAAAGTTAACTTCTATTAGGATTTTAGTCTATTCTGGTGTGTTTGTTGATTTTTGCTCAAAGCAACACAAGGGTTATCTGCATTGGCTGTTTCTAATTCTGAAGTAATAGACTAGAGGGAAGGCAACTAGTCAACGTCAACCACCGCCAATTTTGAGCTACTCTTTATCAACGAATACTGGAATTGACCGTTACGTTATAATGCCTCCATGGCTGAAAGGGCGAGTATGTTTGGCGACGTGTTTCATTTCAGAGACCCTCAGATTTCGAGTCCAGCAACCTAACCACCAGGCCAAGCGAGACCCATTCCATTCAGGTAGGAAATCATTTATAATAGAATTTCACCAATGAGGATAAAATTCTTTTTCTAATGACTTTACCAAAGTTTATAATTCCCTGCTAGAAGCTGTAGTTATTATGTTTTATACTGTAAAGTAACAACAGCAAATTTTCCAGTGACCCAACATACCAAAAGCGAAGCTGCCTTTCTCCTCCCATCCAGGACAATTACCTCACTTGGTCTTAGGGAAGGGATCCAACAATATCCAGGACAATTACCTCACTTGGTCTTAGGGAAGAGATCCAACAATATCCAGGACAATTACCTCACTTGGTCTTAGGGAAGGGATCCAACAATATCCAGGACAATTACCTCACTTGGTCTTGGGGAAGAGACCAACAATATCCTGGACAATTACCTAACTTGGTCTTGGGGAAGGGACCAACAATATCCTGGACAATTACCTTACTTGGTCTTGGAGAAGGGAACCAACAATATCCAGGACAATTACCTCACTTGGTCTTGGGGAAGGGAACCAACAATATCCAGGACAATTACCTCACTTGGTCTTGGGGAAGGGAACCAACAATATCCAGGACAATTACCTCACTTGGTCTTGGGGAAGGGACCAACAATATCCTGGACAATTACCTTACTTGGTATTGGAGAAGGGAACCAACAATATCCAGGACAATTACCTCACTTGGTCTTGGGGAAGGGACCAACAATATCCAGGACTATTCTCACTTGGCCTTGGGGAAAGGACCAATAATATACAGGACTATTCTCAGTTGGTCTTGGGGAAGGGACCAACAATATCCAGGACTATTCTCACTTGGCCTTGGGGAAGGGACCAATAATATACAGGACTATTCTCAGTTGGTCTTGGGGAAGGGACCAACAATATCCTGGTCTATTCTCTGCAGAGGAGAACTAGCAATCGACTGCTGGAGCTCATCCTGTCTAGTTGGGTTTTTCCTCTGGGCTTGCGCTTGGTGCAGTTCTGGCACCAGTACTAAATACCACGATTCAAACCTGGTCAGTAGAATCATCATTAGATGCTAGCACTAGTGCAAGTAGCATCTTGGTGGCTTCCAGTACTTGCATCATGCAAAGCCAGAAAAATTTGGCACCTCAGGCTATGGATAACTCAGATTTGTCAATCAGGGCCAGATGACTGGAGGCTCAAACAATATTGAATTACTGAGATTGTATCATATTTTTAACCAAACTTCAATTGAGTTGGCCCGGCATGGCCAGGTGGTTAGGGCGCTTCACTCGCAATCTGAGAGTCGTGGGTTCGAATCTCCATCCCACCAAACATGCTTGCCCTTTCAGCTGTAGGGTTGTTATAATGTGACGGTGAATCCCACTATTCGTTGGTAAAAGAGTAGCCCAAAAGTTGGCGGTGGGTGGTGATGACTAGCTGCCTTCCCTCTAGTCTTTCACTGCTCAAGTGGGGACGGCTAGCGCAGATAGCCCTCGTGTAGCTTTGCACGAAGTTCAAAACAAACCAAACCAATTGAGATTGTCACAAAGAAAGAGTCAAAACTCAAATAGTTGCAACCACAATCTTCTTGTAACCAACAAAGTAAAACAACAACACTAGAATACAAAAGACAAGGGCAAGTGGCAAGAGAAGAGTGTAGAAACATTTAATAGTTTCTCTTACCAGTTCAGCATGCTCTCCCATGTAAACTACACGAAAAGAAATTTTAAATGCAAAATATGAACCAATACTAAACTAAAACCCAAAGTTAAGTTTAAAGGAAAATCAAACCCTAAATATCTCAAAAGTTAAAGTCTACACAATCCGCAGCTCAGCTGGAAGTGAAAGTAAAGGGTTGAAGTCAAAAGTTACTCTCACATGGACAAACATGGCTTTAAATATAAATCACAATAACATAAAAAGTAGGCCACGCAACTCCATAGTTCCACGGTGATTCGAGCACAAGAGCATGGAAGATCCTGGTTACTATCTGATTCGCCGACAGAAAAGATAACCCCCACTAACAAAACGCCATGAGCTACCTTTTATATAAGGAAACATGGCTAACTGCCAATTAGTGAATTTACGTCTCGTGTGCACCAGAGAAAAGAAAAGTTCGAGTTACTTATTTGAACAACTCTCTGCGTCCAAACTGAAGTGAAACAAAATACAGAAATTTCGAAAATATTAAGATAGAAGCTAATGGTAGGGCTAACACAAAGTGCAGTCCTGTGCTACACATGACATAAGTGAATATTTATATAGGCATACTAGAATCATGACATGCCTTAATATTTGTACAGTTATAGTAGAATCATGACATGTCTGAATATTTATAGATAAATAGCAGAATCATGACATTCTACAACATTTATACAGACATATTTGAATCGACATATCTGAATATTTATACAGGTATACTGGAATCATGACATGATTAAATATTTATACAGGTATAGTATAATCACGACATGCCTAAATATTTATGCAGGTATACTTGAATCATGACATGCCTGAATATTTTTACAGTTATAGTAGAATCATGACATTCTACAATATTTATACAGGTATAGTATAATCATGACATGATTAAATATTTATGCAGGTATACTTGAATCACGATATGCCTAAATATTTATATAGATATAACAGAATATGACATGCTTGAATATGTATATAAGTATTGCAGAATCATATCATGGCTAAAAATTTATACATTATACCATAATTATGACATGCCTGAATATACTTATCTGTGCATTGAACAGAAAGATAACATACAATAAATACTAGGCTTAGTGTTTGTCTCATCGGTTTGATTAATGGCAATCTTTCATTTGTTTTTAGTTGTTTCAGGATTTCGAGCAGACATACACAAAGACTGTTTACACATAGCCGTCCCTAATTTCCATCTGATAGATTAGAGGAAAGGCAGCTAGTCAACAGTACTATGTTTCTAACCGGTCCTTCATAAAAATTCTAACTGGTCCTTATCAGGTTTAATTGGCCTACTCCAAAAACATGCATATATATACGTATGTATAATGAAAACAATGTTTAAAAAATTTAAAACACACGTCTATAATAAA